TAATTAACCTCAGTGTGTGAAGAGGACTCTCCATTTACATGCACAAATTGGAGTCTATTAGATAGATATGATACAAACCACTGCAGCACAGTACCTGTAATACCTACGCATGTTCTAATCACGCTAATAGGATATTATGGTCGACAGTATCGAATGCTGCACTAAGGTCTTTGTCCTCTCTTCCTCCCCTCATCCTAAACAAAGTCACCCAGGCTCAGGAGAGGCCGCCCCTCCCTGATCCTAGATTTCTTCCCGTTAAAAGGAAGTTTTTCCTTCCCACTGTCGCCAAGTGCTTGCTCAAAGGTCCTTTGATTGTTGGGGTTTTCGCCCCATTATGGTAGGGTCTTTACCTTACAACATAAAGCCTCTTAAGGCAACTGCTTTTGTGATTTGGTGCTTTGGGAAGATGTGTTGGGTAAACAGCATTGGGGACAGCAGAAGAAGATATCGGAACAGTTGAGTTCAGACAGATGTTGGTATGAGTTAAGATAGATGGTATAATTGCATTAAGACAGATGTTGTTACAGCTGAGTTTAGCCAGATGTTGGTACAGCTGAGTTAAGACAGGCACTGGTACAATTGAGTTAAGATGGATGATATAATTGCATTAACACAGATGCTGGTATAATGAAGTTAAGACAGATGTTGCTAGAGTTTGTTATATGTTGGCCACCTGATACAGTGGAGTTAAAATAGATGTTGGTACAGCCAGTTCAGGCAGATGTTGGCACAGCTGAGTCAAGACAGGTTCTGACAGATGCTGATACAGCTGAGCTGAGACAGATGTTGGTCGAGTTAAGACAGATGCTGATACAGCTGAGTTACGACAGATGTTGGTGTAATTTAAATTAGGCAGATGTTTTTACTGTTGAGTTTAGGCAGATGTTGGGTATAACTGTACTAAAACAGATGTTTTGGTATAGAAGAAGAGAGGAAGATGTGTGCCGACGGGATTAGATTTGCGTACATAACCTGTGTGATGCTCGTTTGCATTAACAGCATCATAACTGATTGGTGTAATGATGTAGCCACAGTTTGTTCTGCAGGTATAAAGAGAAACCTGAAAGGTCTGCACATTAACAAGCAGTCTGCACATTTTAAAGCAGGTCCTGAATGTATGCATGGACAGGTTGCTCATTTTATACTCAGTTAACAACATACACTAAATCCCAGCAGGATGGCGTTCCTTTTGGGCACCTATATTTGCGTGTCTGTGTATGTTTTTGCAGATCCAATTAAAACCCTTCGTAGTGGGTGGTGACTTCAGAGTTCAGAACTCTTTTAACACTTGATTCCCTCACAGAGAGAGAAATAAAAAGAAAACACCATATTATCACAGCAGGCGGCATGTGACAAAAACACATCTACACACACACACAGACACACACTGAAGAGATGAAAAGGAAGTAGTGAAGAGGGGGCTGGTTGAGGGTAATTATACATGCAACCAGACAACAGTGAGGAAGAAGAGAGGATGAGCTGCTCTTGTTTGAGCTGAAGATGCTGACAAATCTACATGGATGTATGAACAAACAAGGCAAACACGCACACGCACACATTATAATTTAATGGGTGACAGATGAGTCACAGAGGCCTTCCTTCCTGTTTAATCATCACCCCACTGAATGACATGAACATAAACTCACCTGTTCAGCCAAGAGTTGCTGCTGCTGTCTCTGCTCTCTTAAGAGCTGCTGTTTCTGCTGCTCCATCATGTGCATCTGCGCCCTCTTCTCCTGCTCCATCACCATCATCTGCTTCATCACGTCCTGCCGGTAGACCGGAGGCGGACCTGATCCCTGGTTGGGGCCCACCCCGGAGGCAACGCCGCCAGCGGGGTGAGGAGGTGGTATGGCGCCAGGTGGTCGTGACATCCCCACCACACCTTGCTCCTAGAAAGAAGAAGGCAGCAGGTCAGGTGGGCTATCAGCTAATAAGACATCACAGCACACTTGCACAGCTGTCATTTAAATATGACACTAGCAGCCAGCTGGATAAAGCATTGACTGTATATAAGAGATGAAGGTAGGTGTATGATGTCATCAATTGGCTCCTCCCTAAAGCAAGCCCTTCTCTGTCACCCTTCTTGAGTTTAATAATGACAACAATTAACAAAATACAAAGAATTGAATGAGGTCACAGAGTAAAGTGGGTAGTCAGAGGACTTGACCCCTGCTGACCATTAGAAAGAATGCAGGTCGATGATGGTTCTGCATCATAAACCTTCTCATATCCAGAAGCTATGGCAACTTTTTATATACAGTCTATAGAATAAAGACAGGAAACAGTAGGCTGTAGCTCCACCTTCTGTGTGAAAAGCTAAAAAAATCAGCCAACTAGCATCTATAAAGCTCTATAAAGCTACAGCTGCAATAATATTATTCCTAACCAGCTTGTATGTATGTTGTCTATTTGTCTGTCAGTATATCAGGAGAAATTACACGAAACTCGATGACGGGAAGGCAAAGAAAGAACTTCCACGAGGTCACCAGTGAATCACTACATGCTGTATAGCTAGGTAGCATTTAGCCACATGGTAAACAAACTCTTACAGTTTTTCTGTTAAAGAATTTCTCTTGAGCAATGCCAAGTGAGTCAAAAGAATGCACGCAAAGGTGTAATTGTAAACCATACAGGTCAAAACTCTCAGCGCTAACACTCTCTTTGCAAGAAAGCAAAGTATATGTATTTTCCAAGATGTTTAAATATTCCACTGAAGCCATTTTTAATCACGTATGCTCGGTTAAAGGCGTAAAACCAAACAAAAAGGAGCTTCTCGGCATCTAACAAAACCATTTCAGACTCTGAAAATCTCCTCTCCACCGAGTCATTGTTATCGCTCTTTATCACAAGTGAATGCCACACAATAAGATCAGATACATAAGGAAGGCATATTTTATACACTATCGGAGATGGAGGCATTTAGACTGCCGGCTTTGCGTGGTCCCTTTTTTGGCATAACGCTGCAGTCGAGCCTTGTGATGTATTTTAACTCACAAAGACACAGTCCAGCTGTCTGTGAATGACAGTGAAAAACAAGATAAAGACAAGACTGCCTCAAGATTCAGCACGCTGGGCCACCCTGAGTCCTCCCAACGGGGGCACCGGCTTGTCCTCGCTGTGCTGCATACATTATCTCCTCATTAGCATATAAAGAGCACTTCCTCCTCCACTCAGGCGTATGCTAATCTCTAATAGGATGAAATGGCCTGCTCTGGCCAATGGGAGTGGAGTGTTTATGGATCTATTAAAGGTTAGACAGCTGAACGAGAGTGGACATTGTTTAGGCCTGCCAGCAATAGAAAGGGGGAGGACTGAGAGGAGAGGAAAGAATGATTCGGGCCAGTAAAGAGTGTTTGCTCGCATAAAAATGCACCAGCACACAGGAACAAAGAGTGTACAACAAATCACATTTAACTGCAGGGCAAGAATGAAACAGCGAACGCGGGATTACAGCACCAAATCACAGCGCTGGCTCGCGTCAGTAACACACCAGTATACTCAATATGTTTTGAAAGAGCCAAAGCCTCGTAATCCGCATTGAGGCTCGGCTCTTCTTAGAAAGGAGTTACGTGTAGATAAACCTCATATATTAGAGCACAAAAAGCCCTGTGGAGCAAACAGAATCGGCTGCTTAGGACTGGCTCACCAGACAGCCAGACCAGACTGATCGATGTTCAGAGCTACGTGTCTCATCTTCGGATGGCATGTTTGTGCCCGGATGGCAGCGCGGCAGTTAGACGATGCACGAGAGCGGGGAAGAGACGGCGAGCTGTAGTGCTGGGAAATGACCAACGGGTGGCAGTGGTGATCTTTAAGCACAGGCGTGTGTGTGCGGGTCTCACTGGCCTCCTCTCAGCAGATGGCTCAATCATGACGGCTCTGATCTACGATCGCTCCCTCTCTCACTCTACCACTTTTCTTTCCTTCTCTCTAAACACCCCCCCACCCCATCAAAGTCCTCTTTTCTCGACTCTTTCTTTGGTTCCATCTCTTCTCTGAAGAGAAGGGGCCCTGAGTCATGTCCACACAACTGCAAAGGAGTGAAAAAACGGAAGAAAGACGGGTTAGAGAGGAAAGAGGAGAGGGAAAAGTCTTAAAGATTTTCCTGGAGGTGGTGAAAAAGCAGCACGGTGGCATCTTCCTAAAGAAAGCACAGCTCCGACACATCTTCTAGTTAAATAAAGACACACGGAGAAGACAGACACGAAGAGTAAAATAATGGAAACGCAGTAAATGAATTCGAATTAGTACTATTTCAGCGCTGTTAATACTTCACTGGAGCGTCGCTAATATACAAAGAATTAAATCTCACGCCAATAAAGCTCATTAAATCAAAAGCAGGTATCCTCTTCAGAATGAAAAGGCAAATTAAATTAATTGGAGGGAAGAGAAAAGAGCATGTGTGTGGAGAGAAACGAGGCATGAGAGCAGAAGGACAACCACAGGAGGAGGATTTGAGCGTAGATCTTGTTTGGGGAGAAAAATCGAGAGGATGCGATGGAGGTGATGAGCCAAAAGAGGAGGAGGAGTAAAAGGTGGGCTGGAGGGGAGGAGAGGAGAGCAGGTACCCTGGCAACAGTTGCTGCAGCGCCGAGCAGATGGCGCTCGGAGGAGCGGTTATGGCCGCCGCGCCTGGTCACCCTCCGCAACAACCGGGCAGACCCGAACAAACAGCATACAGTACACACGGGTACAAACGAGTCTCCCGTGCAGCGTTAATATGTTCGACCAATCTTCCACTCTCTTTGTCCTCTCGTGTGAGCGTTGTTACTAATGTAAGAAAGAGCACGCTCTGTGTCTGTTTTCTCTGTCAGCCCCGTCCATCCAACTCTCTCCCCCAGACGCTTCGTTTTGGCACCTCGGACCGGCTCGAGTCAGCCCCCAAACTCTGAGCTGTTCAGCAGAAATGGGTCAGTGGATAAAGTGACTTGAAGCTTAGCTGCTAACGAATAAGAGCTCAGTCACAGGCTGAAGTTTGTAACTGAAACAGTTCCTGTAAGTCGGACGGTTTGTGGCAGAAAAACTGAGGCGGAAAGGAGAAGAAACCAAGAGTTGAATGTATTCTGGAGCATGTGTGTGTTTGTTTGTGTGTATGTAACTGTGTGTGTTGGAGACTGTCAGCTTTATTGGGTTAGCAGGCATGGAGAGCCTAGGTGATTACATTACACATGAAGTGAGCGGAAATTTGTGTGTGTGCATGTGTGTGTGTGTGTGTGCGCGTGTATAAGAGAGACTGAAATATGCGTCTGCTGCATTAACTGTATTTGTGTTTATGTGAATGCATTGGTATGCAGGGACTGGCACCCAGTTTGTTCGGGTCTGATTGAGTCACTGCAGTCTGGTGCTCTATTTCAGGGTCATGATTTTCTGTGCACAGAGTGAGTACACCATATATCAGTGGCATCTGTTCAGTTTAGTCACTTCATTGTTTATTTATCTCTTTACTTATAAGAGATAATAATGCATTAATTAGTTTAGGTAAATACACTTTGGGCTACTTCATTCGGTAAAGCTGTACTGGGTTGGACCCCTATTTAGCTTCAAAACTGCCTCAACTGTTTGAGACTTAGATTCAACAAGTTGCCAGAAATATTCCTCAGAGATTTTGGTCTCTGTTGCTGTAGATTTGTCTTCCGTGCATCCACGATGCAAACCTTCCGTTCCACGACATCCCATAGGTGCTCTATTGGATTGAGATCTGGTAACTGTGGAGGGCATCGAGTAAAATTTAGTTCAATTCAATTCAGTTTTATTTACATAGCGCCAATTCATAAACAGCAGTCCCTTATTGACCTTACAATAACAGAGAGAAAAACCCAACAATCAGATGATTCCCTATTGAACAAGCACTTGGCAATAGTGTGGAGGAAAAACTCCCTTTTGAAAGGAAGAAAGCTCCAGGAGGCGGCCATCTTTCCCAACTTGTTGTGTGTGAGACGAGGTAGACAGAACAATGAGTGTTCAGGAAAGCTGTTTGAGATGTTCTGAACTTTGTGACATGGCCTGTTTTTTTCTGCTGGAAGCAGCCATCAAAAGATGGGTCAGCAAAAACACCCAGAGAGACCTTGGCTGTTTAAATGATGTTCATATGGTACTAAGGAGCCCAATCTTCTACTGACCAAATCTTTTAGCCAAAGTTTCCTGTTACTGGCACCTGGTGTAGTTTTCTGCTGCCGTAACCCATCTGCTCCAAGGTTTGATGGATGCTCTCCTGCATACCTTTATTGTAAAGAGTGGAGTTACTGTTGTCTTTCTATCAGAAAGTCTGACCTCGGACATCAACAAGTCATTTTCACCCAGAGAACCGCAGCTGTGCTTTGCTTTTGTGTTCTATTTATCTTTCAGGTGTCAAGCCTCCACCTATTGGCCAGTTCGAAGTTGATTGGCATGTGTCTATTGGCTGGTCTGGGCCCAGTTGACCAATCACACGCCTAGGATTACTACAAATGAGCAGCTCCCTGGCCAGCTGGTGGCTGCTGGCTTCTGCTATGACGAACATTTGCGAACAGGCTTCTTTGTATTATGTGTGGTGGGAGGCTGGACAGGTAAGCTGGGGTACCCGATACACTGATTGCAGGTTTTAAACTGTTAGACACACTAGGCTATGCGGTTGATGCCACTTTTGTATGTTTTCACTGACCTTTTGTCGAGCAGCTAGGTAGCCGTTTTGTTTTGCATTTTTGTTTTAGTTAGGCCCTGGGAGCTCTCGACCTCTTTTTGTTTTATTACTTTCTTTGATTTGGCTCAACCGCCCAGTCCTCCTCCCCCACCTTTTTTCTTATAGATTCCAATAAATCCCCACTGATTCTTAACTGTCCTGTTGTCCTTCTTCATTGATTGTGGTTGTCCGGTGTTGCTGTCTCCTACCTGCCTTTGCCACCACCATGGTGGGGGGGACGTAACACAAGTGGCGGCTCGTCCGGGATCTGAACCCAGGACCTTTCGCACCCGAAGCGAGAATCATACGCCTTATTTTTTTTGTTTTACCATTCTCCATTAATCCTAATGATAGAAAATCCCAGTAGATCAGCAGTCTGAAGTACGTCCGTCTGGCACCAACAACCATGCATGTCACTTAAATCACCTTTTCCTCCCCAACTTTTCATCTTGTCCATGTCTAATTCACTCAGTTGCTGCCATGTGATCTGATGATTACAGCAAAATAAAAAAAAAGTTGAATTTTTTTTTTTAAATTTTCTATTACCATTAGTTACTTGACCCTTAACAAAAAGTCAGCACTGTGTGTAACACATTACGGTAATCACATTACATTTTTCTACATGGCAGTAATGTAAGATATTTCTGCCCTAAATTCAATAATCACAAGACAGATGCAATTATGGCTCCTCAGTCACCTACAAGACAAGTAGATACAAAACCCCTCCAAACATGCAATTTTCTTTCCTCGTGCTGCAATCATCCGACTTCAGTTTGTGTGCAGGTTGGAGGGAAATGGCGTCACAGTCAACAGTTTTTAAGGAATTTAGATATGAACAGTAGCTTAACTGTAATTGCACGAAAGGGAAAGAACACAATAGCAAACTGTATCCTGTCTAAAGATCACTGCTGCTAACACAAAATCAGCTCTTTGTGAGCATCTGCATAAAAGCTGATAAAGAACTCAAAATGACTTTAACGCTAAGCGCATGCAGACTCCAGCCAAGCAGCCAGAGCCTGCAGGGTCTACCTTACAATATAAAGCGCCTTGAGGCGACAGTTGTTGTGATTTGGCACTATATAAATAAAATTGAACTGAATCATCTCCAACAGGTAACAAAACAGGTAACCTCTTGGGCTTTTTATTAGATTTTTTTACCGACTTTGCTGTCGGCTTTGCGTGTCATCATTAGGACTGGGATTTGCATTGGTGTGCTAACATGTTTGTATTGTCCACTGGTATGATTATGTGACAGGCCATGTTACAGTAGCAGTAGTGAAAAATTACCTTCTTGACAGAGTACTTAAGTAATGTTAAGCATGATATTTTCTAAAAGTAATCGATGTGTACTGCATTATTTTGAGCAACGACCCCCCACACTTCTGCCTTCCTTCAGCAGAAGCTGAAGGAAGGCAGGCAAAGCTTTCGATTCATCAGCTGATTAACCCTCCAACCCTGGCCTGTGGTCACGAAATGTGAGATATGCCCGCAAAAATAAGGTTGGGCATACAAGCAGCTAAAATGGGTTTTCTCCACAGGGTGGCTGGGCTCAGCCTTAGGCCTTGATCGTACTCTGTTACGGACACGGATGGCTGGAGATCCAATGGCTAAGTAGTTATTCCTGTTATATTTCTTTAAAGTCCACTGCCTGGGGCGCATGCCTAGTCGGTGCATTGTAATATAAATTCTCTACAGATGAGTTTGCGCAATCATTGAAACAGGCAAGCAGGTGGACATCCGCATGGACCCTCGTGTTCACTGTTCATGAAATTTACCCCACTTGGACCCGAGTGGACATGAAAAGTATAACTGAGACTTTAGTGATAAGGTGAAAAGCTCTGAGAGCTGGAAGGGCTCAGGTTAGAGTTTCCTTCCTGGGAGACAGGTGAGGTGGTTCAGGCATTTGATCAGAGTGTTGCCTGGATGGGTCTCTGTGGAGTTTCTGGGTACATGCAACTTGGAGGGGAAGGGAAGACCCAGAACCTGCGGGACAGATTATATATTTCATCTGGCCTGGAACACTTTGGTATCCCCGGGAAGAACTGCTAAGTGTTGCTGTGAACAGGACATCTGGAATACCCTGTTTGCCTCGCTACAACCATGACCTGACTTTGGAGAAGTAGAAGATAATGGATCCATCCATTTTCTATCGCTTATCTGGGTTCAGCTCACAGGAGGGCAGCAGTCGAAGCAGAGAAGCTCAGGCGACCTCTTCCGGGGGGATACCAAGGTGTTCCCAAGCTAACCGAGAGATCTGTTCCACTCAGTGAGCACTGGTCTGCCCCAGGGACTCCTCCCGATAGGACATGAGCGAAGCGCCTAGCCTAGGAGACGGTCCATCCCAGACAAAAATGGACTCCCCCTTAAACGTGCCGCAGTGGCTTGGTCCACTTTCTGTAATTCTCTAAACCCCTTATTTAGCTAAACTAAGCTAAGCTAAACAACTACTTCTACCATTGAGTAGAATAAAACATATTGACAGTTGTAACAATTCTGCACTTTCTCAGCTTCATTACTGAAACATCTGCTGCCATATTGTTAAGCGGCAGCCATGCCTCCGAATGCAGGAAATTTGCTCATGAGCTAACAGGACTACCCCCCCCTCAATTCTACACCATTTAGAAAATACTGGAAATACCCCTGTTGGCATGAACATCCACTCTCCAGCTGAGATGAAAATCCCATCTGCGACCACACAGCAGTGAGATTAACGGCTGCACTTGCTACACTGAAATAACACACACACCTAAACACATGCACCCACACTGAAAAAGCAAAGAAAAAAGGGACAGATTACTACAGCACTACTACAAGTTTATGCAAAAGAAACACACACACACTCACACACAACCTATAAGAGCATCGGCGCCAGGCAGCCGAGCGCTGGGTGTCTGCGTGCTCTCCAGAGTGGCTCACATCTGTCACCCGCTTGTGTAAGAGGGAGGGAGGGGGAGGGTGTGAAGAGGAGAGAGGAGATGCAAAGCGAGGGTTGGGTGGATAAGGAGATGCTTCATTAGTCTGTTACAGAGGCTACAGCTGCAATCAGACTGAGACAGTGAGCAGGAAATGTATCGTTTTTTTTCCCCCAAGTCTCTATTCAGATGAGCAGAAGATCTGCAGCAGGTGAAGGTTTATGGGCAAATCCAAGCCGTGTCCCTGGTTACCGTAGCCAGCTGAAGGTCACAGAAGGCGCCTTCGCAGCCAGGGCTCATCCATGCCTGAATGTCCTTGGGATTCATGCTGGCTGACCTTAAACTGTGACCCCCTCCCGTGACGCATGAGAGGTGTGGCAAAATATGCAAATCAAAAGCACTGCATCGTGAAGAATGAGGTGGCAATGTGACTGCCAAATGTGCCTGTTTGCTGGAGTGGAGTTTGTTATATTCAAAGGTTTCAGCCTGAATGAATGGAGATGGAGACAGCAGCTACAGACGCATGAGGGATTATATTTCAAAAGCTGTGATATGGATGGCAGAAGACACCGTATGCTCACATACAGGCTATAGCACACAATTTCCTTTGTGTTGTCAACCCCCAAATTCCCACAATATGCGAAAACATGGGGACAGAAGACAGAGTTTACCTTTAATTTGAAAGCCAGAGTTTGTTTTTGAGGATAAAAGCAATAATTATGTTATTTAGTCTATAATCCACTGTTTTCATTTTCCCACTCTTTGTCTTAAACTTGACTGTCATTTGGCTTTTTATTACCCATCATCAATTGCCATTCATCAGTACTAAAACATTGTTACTTTTTATATAATTCAAACATAATTAAGAGTAATTAACTCTAATTAAGTGCAATTAAGTCTAATGAAACCAATGCAGAGTGAGGAAAGTCACATATGAGACCAATAAACAACAGGAAAAGATAAAGATGGAAACAGAATTGGACAGAGGATGATTACTGCATATAAAACTGGACATAGCAACCATGACATGACCCGATAGTTTCTGGACCCTGCATGTTGAAACCTCAGTGTTTTTAATAACTGCAGTGTTTATTTTTTTTGGAGTCAGAAGTCACCATATTTGGACAACAGGTGGGAATGCTAAGCTGCTGTATCAGCTAATGCTCGGTATACAAGAATTTCTGCTAATTAGCGCTAAGCAGTAAACTATTAAAATACTAGAATCGAATTCAACTAAAAGAAAAACCTCTTGGAAGCGCTGTACAGGCCACAGGCCAAACTATTTCTGAGGAACCCATTAAAAATGCTCCAAAAGGCACTGAAAGTGCAACCAAGGCAGAAAGCTCTGGTTCCAGCTGATTCTCAAAGCTGCTGTGGCTTGTTCAGAGAAAAGATTTCCTTTGGCCTCTGTGCTCTAATTCGATGTGAGTTTTTCCAAATATTCCACGTTCCAGCCTCCCAAACCTCTTGAATTGTTCTGAAGGAGCGAATTAGCTTCAGAAGCTTAAACAGTTTTTTGATTTCAGGCTATAAACACGTTTATTTCTGTTGTAAAGTTAGGCATGTCAACACATGAATCTGTAGGGAGTGACTGTGTTTGCGTGTAGCCTCGTGTGGCCGTTAGCGGAACTGCACTTTTTGACACCTGTACATCGATTTCTGCATCAATAAAATCTTCTATAAAAGTCGTCTTTAGCTTGTCGTCAAACAGACAGCTTTCTATGCTTTTAAATATGTGTTTAACACAAAGATATGAAGTCAGTGACTCGGTGAAGAAAGTATTTGATTAAAAGTAAAAGATGGTGCACTGCAGCTTATGGTTAAACGCAAGCTTTATGCATGTTATGCAGCTCCTGCTGAGTGATTCACATGCATATACATAATCACACATACACACTAACACCAAGCAGATGGTGAAGGCAGACCTTACAGTGTTGAACTATCCCCACAGCTTCCAAGGTAAAGAAGACATCTCTTCATCACACACACAGTCACGTTTCCATCGCTTCAGAGGGCATTACATCGCTTTACACGAATTTCCTGGAAGCTTAAACTGGCCCAAAAACAAGTCTTCATCCTAAAACATGAAGGTTTGCTCCCACAGGGGAAAATAAAACCGAATATGTAAACACATTTGCCCCCCAAATACAAATATGCACGGAGCAATAAGGACAGATCAAAGTTTCTTAGCCACATATTTTTCACATGTAGAACAACACATAAACCCACTAACCCAGCCCGGCCCCCCTCAAACACACACAGGCACACACACTTGTAGACTTACTCAGTTTCTCCCAGAAGAGAGTTATATTTAAACTGCTGGAGAGGAGTTTTGCTCCCCACAGAGGTCTGTTTAATCTCTAACATCTCTCTACTTTAAACCCTAACTGGCCTATTTCGGAATCTTTTGAATCTACGCACACTCACCCTCACGCACACATAATTTACAGATCAATGTCAAAGTGAAACACACTCAACCTTCCACTTTCCTTTTTTTTTCCCCCTTCATAAAATTCACCTCACAGGCTCAAAAACAATCGGCTGGGTTAACAGGGTTTCTTGGGGATCATCCTTTAACCATAACTGAAGCGACATGATGCCATGCAGCGACGCTGTGAAATGCATGTAGGCATGCAGGAGTGGATCAGTTTGACTAAATGAGTCCCTGCAGCATGAACGCTGTTTGGAGGCTCTGTGTTTAACCGAGGGATTTCTGTGCAGACACAGGATGCCACCCACAGACAGCAGCAAGCCTGGAATGTCACTTCACGCTCGTTTGCAGTCGTGTAGCGTGAAATTCTTTAAACTATGATCTCTGCAAAAAAAACCAACGAAAAACTGTATTGATTCACATTTATTATTACAGTTAAAAATGAGAACATTATATGCATTATATGAACACTTTAGACTGAAACTCTTATTCCCGTGAAGTTTGGATGCCAGGGTTTCCACTGGAGTGTTGGAAAACCTCTAAAAATGTAGCACATTTTAAGATGTTTCTTTAAGCTACTGTCAGGTTAGCCAGTGTTTGAGTTTAGCTTACTGTTACCTTAAAAACTGCCTGTTAAAGGAAGAAGAGGTTGAAAAAATACGAAAGAACCAGGTTATTGAATTACAGTTTTTTCCTCAGACTGCACAACTGTTCTGGTAGAAATCCTGTGTGGGGATTTAAAACAGGCAGCACGTGCAACCCAAAATGTACAAAGGTGGGAATCTGAGTCTGGTCCCAGATAAACTTCCATGCATAAGCTTTTTTAATCTAATCACACAGTCCAAACCAAACACACAAACATCCAGCGCCTACACTGTAAGCCCCCAAAGTATTCCTCACTGCCCCCTGAGGCCAGGACAGCAGACCGGATTGCACTTTCAATTCAGTTTTATTTACACAGAGCTAATTCACAACAACAAATGCATCAAGGCGCTTTATACTGCAAGGTAAAAGCCCTGCAATATTAGAGAAATCAGATGACCCGCTGTGACTATCACTTTATGGTGACAACAGGGAAGAAGAACTCCCTTTTAACAGAAAAAGACCTCCAGTCGGACCAGAGGAGGGGCAGCCATCTACTGTGAACAGCAGGAGCTGAGGGGAAAGAAAGGAGAGACAAAAAGATGAGCATAGAAAGACAAGGACAAAGTAGGAGAAAAAAGACAAAGATGAAGCAGGAGTACAAAGACAGGAGTAAAGGAGAAATGCCCAGTGCATCATGGGAAGTCCCTCAGCAGCCAGACCAATAGAAGCGTAACTAAAGGACGGTTTGGGCTATCAAATCCATCCATCTTATAGGTACAGAGGCCGTCACTGAGCACACCCCTCATTGCAAAAACACTCTCAGATGGCAGAATCCTCCCCGAGCGTCACAAAAATGTGGAAAAGAATGTGACAAAGAGCCCACAGAGTCCCATCAGCCCAATCTCACGGAGTGCCTGGAGGACCAGAAGAAACCCGACCCATCGAACACATCTGCACTGATCTCCAGCCGAGGCCCTGGTGTCAGACAACAGAGGACACTCGTGAAGCTCAGAGCTGCTGTGGTAACACAAACGAGGCCTACACAGTATTTGGCAGGTGGTTTTAGTGTTGTGGCTGACTGGTGTACCTTTAAAAAGGACCTAAACAGCTAAAACCATCGACGCGAAGGAGTTCCTGCTGCTCGCGGCTCCGCGGTTAGACAGCGTCGGTTCAAACCCAGGCCAGGACTCCCTCACGTCTTCCTCCCTGAGCTTAGGGTGATTATAAATTTCCTGTTAATCATCTCTAATCAATTAAGCGTCTGGTTCAACACTATTAATCACTAATGTTTGTTGAACCCTGTAAAGCATTTCACAAGCTAATCTAATGACCTCCTTCTTATGAATACCTTTATTACCACCTCT